CCCACCCAGCACCAGTTTCTTCTTGGAGTTGCCATGTCTTTCTGTGGGAGCCCAAAAGATCTGGTGGCCAAGTGCAAAGCCCGGGCCTTTGCCCCATCAGCAGCACCTTGCTGCAAGATGGCTGGTGTCACTGCCCTCTGTCTCACAATGCAACACTGAAACAATGACATGAGCAGGGGGGCAGAGAGCACAGAACCTCTGCTGGCATCAGGGCTGCCCTCAGCCCTGGCTGTGATTTGGACACAATCACAACCCCTCCAACAGGGAAGAGCTGGATGCTCACTGTTCAGCAGCTTACTCTGGGGCAGTCATGGCTTCCAGAACATGTACATACATCTTTCCACAAAATTCCTTCAAGTGTCTACGCACTGCTTGAAGCACAGTTGCAGATTTTTCTACGTGGGATAGCTGAGCCTACCATAACATAAGGCATGAAAATAAAAAGGTTTTTTTACATATAGCTATACTCACTGTGAAACACAAGGAAACAACAACACTTAGTCCAGGGAACATAGGCATATTCTCTACCACCTGAGGCCTCACCTGCCACTCTTGTGTTTGTAGACATGATCAGTCCCAGGCAGAGAATGGGGTGTGAAATGGCATGTGGGTTGCTCCATTCCATTAGTTAAAATATAACCAAAGCCTCCTCTCCAGCTATAGGGTTATATTTTCAGACTGTGTGCATATGGACAAATAAAGGGCTGTGTTCTTCTGTCCTAAACACAAAGCAGTCAAGTCTCCAGAGGCATACCTATGGCTCTCCTTTGCAAAGCCTGAGTTAGGCCAGAAGATTGTGCCAGACTGGGCATCTCTGTGGTCCCTGTGAGAGAGGCAGGATGAGATAAACCCACAAAGCACATGTCTGAAGAATACGTTGACCCATCTGTTGTGGAGCTTGGAGTGATAGAGCCTGTGACCAATAGCTCAGAAGATGGCTGGGAGGATGTCATCTCTGTGCTGTATGAAAAAAAGACCCTTCAGTAATTTGTCAATAAAACAATCTTAAAACCATACCAAAGCATACGTTGGTCTCTTTGCCTACTACATAAATAAGTGAGAGCAGGATCTTATATGGGGACAAGTCATATCAATGTTAACCCAGAGAATGATATCCCAACCTCTTCCTCATTTTAAAGTGGACACAGTCCTAGCTCAACAATACTTCATTGCGATACAGCCAACAAACCTATCTTCAGCTCTGAGCAATACGCTTGTACTATCTAATGTGTCTGCATGCTGGGTTGACTATTTGTCACATCCTGCCACCTGAGCAGGTCCATATCTGTGATGAGATCTTCACGGTCTTGTAGGTTGCCTAAGCTGCCAGATTGTGGCAGTTTTTGGCTGAAATCTGTAACTCTCATTCTCTTCTGCGTGCCACCATGGGCAGGAGTAGACAAGAGCTGAGCATGTAGTGCCTGCTCCCTGGGCCAGATGAACCTAAGCCAGTTCCCATCTGAAAGCCACCTTGCCAAGTCAGAGCAGCACCACGTCCTAATATACTCACTTATCATAACACAGCTATGCAGGTTTTGGACCACAGTTGGCTTATATGCATCCTGATGGGAGCACAGACAGAGGGATTTGGATTTGTCTGCACTTTTTTTTAACTTAGACATGCTTCTAGGTGCCAACTGTGTGGACTGCTCCCTTAGAAGGATGACCAGACAGTGGTTCAAGAAGTTCCTGATAATTTGCCAGTGCAGCTAGCCCACAGGGCCATGGGGTTTGGGAACGTCTTCCATTACAATCTTACAGGAATTGCTGAGTTCCCCATATTAAGTCCTTCAGAAGAAAGTCTTTTTCCTTCTCTTGAAATGAAATAATTACATGGTTCATCTTATGCCATTCAGAGGACCTTGCAGAATTCCTTACTGTGGGACTGAGAGTTGGTGCTGCAAAGTCAGAACAGCAAGAGAGGTTCAAGGAAAGGGAGAAGACAAAGCATGGTGTTGTCCCTCATCCAGTCTTGCCTCACAGGACAGGATGTGAGGGCTCTTCCAACAGCCTAAAAAGGGTGAGCTGCATGTCTTGTGCGGATAGTATGCTGCCCAAGCAAGAGTTACTGTTCTCTGAAGCATAATTTTTCTGTTCCACTCAAGGCATTACTCCTTTGCATCACCTCTCTGATGGGCTATGCCATTGCAACTCCATGGGCCCTATGCAGCCATTGAAAACATGAAGGCATTTACTTACCAGAGACAAGTAACTTAAGTTACGCACTTTATAAGGAATGTATGTGATTAAAGACAAAATGTCTGTTAATGCAGAGGCACCCTCTGCACACATAGAGCAACCAGCACTCTCAGGACTTCCCTGGATCTATACTATCAAACAGGATAGCAGAAAAAGTGCTACAGTTCATATGTTACTGACACGTGTAGGACTTTTTTTTAATTAGAAAACTCAAAGCTTAGCAGCATCTGTTGAAAACCTCAAAGGAAGAAAAAGTGTGTGTGTATTCATCCTTGTAAATATTCCCAAGAACACTATTTTTGGTCGTGGCTGCACAGCTGAGGCTGACCATATACAAGCTGGAGGCTTTTAGGCCACATTGGCAGGAAAAGAGTTTCCTTCCCAAGCATCTGGCTTTCATCTGGGCGGATATGCTGGTCAGGCCATTTATTTTATGAACTCCACCTGCGTGTATGTACCTATGCCTCTCTGTCTGTGTGGGCGGGTAGGGCTCAGTATTTGCTGTATGTTGAAGAATTTCAAAACGAACTTAATTACCTCCTGCTTCCAGCTATGGTGGTACAAATCCAGAGCAATTTCAAAACTTCAGTGAAATTACTTGTGGGTTTATGCAGGTGTCAGGGAGAGCAAAGCTGAGTCCAGAGCAAGGCTTTTCTAAGCACCAGCTCATAGAAAACATCCACAGAAACTGGCAACCTGATTCTAATACCTAACAAAAACCTGCTTGTGCAATGGATGTCATCCACAAGCATTGTGCACTAAACCACATTACAAAATCTAAAATACAGATAAAGTTGTTGCAGTCTTCATACTGGATAGAACAAGAAAACGTTAAAATGTCCACCCACCCTGCCATTGCTTAGGGTACAAACCTCAACACCTGCACTGTGTGTTGTGATTAAACAGAGGTGTGGACCAAAGTCTCCCTGCATTAGACGAGGCAGCTAATGACAGCAGCAGCACTGGGGATGACACATCACAACCAAAACCACTCAAATTTGTTTTCCACATAAATCTCTGGAATTTCCAGTCAGAAAGGCAAAAGATGAGCCTGTGTTGATTAAAATGGCTGGGGAGCTCTTTAGTTTATCAACTAGCAAATTGTTCCAGCAGATAGAAAAGCATAAGCTATAGGGCTTGCTTTATATAATACATAAATGATATTTACAATATGTTATGTTAATTGCGTTATGTTATGCTACATTATGTTATGTTACATTATCTATTTTATTTTATGATTTTATGCATGTAGGCATACAGATACATATACAGATACATGTCTGAACAAATGAATGGTCAGCAAGATTCAGCAGGCCATGCACTCCTGCATGAAATCAGCAAGTTACGTCAGTGTAAAACATATCATTTGTGACAGGGAGATAAGATCACTGAAACAGGTTTATAGTTGTGAATTTGCTCTTCACCCCTCTAGACTTTCTAATCAAAAGAGATCAGATGGGTCTGTTTACCGATGTATACGCAGCTTTTACAATTTCCTTAAAGTTATCCATTCCTTCAACAGGACCTTTAATTTTGTGGGTTTTGGCACCACAGCCGGTTAGAGAATCCCCTTCCTTCAACTCTGGTTTGCAGATCTCAAGCATATGCAGTTTTGAACTACAGGGGGTAGCAAGAGGAGAACCGCACCAGTGAAACCCATGCCTGCTCCAGGAACCTGAAACACAGTTCAGCTACAGACTGCTAGGTGGAACGTGAGCAAACGGTTCTTGTTAAGCGGGTATAGAAAGCAGAATGAAAATTGGCATGGTCATTTCAGTAGTTTCTCTCACAACTGCTCTTCCTCTGCCTTTTCCAGGCACAGCCCTTCCAGCAGGTGCTTGTGGCTGTCTTGCTTTGCTCTAAGAGAAGGAAGCAATTGTCTTTAATGTTATATGTGCAGAGAACGAAATAAGGTGATATGGACCTAGGTTAGGAAGCTGGGTGTGAGCTTCAGCAGTGCCAGGTGATGGTTCCCACTCTCAGAACCTACTTGGAGAGGTAAACGGCTCCTTGAGTTCAGTCAGGAGTAACTCAGAGACAGATGAGGTAAGGTTGGGTTAGCAAGTCTACATAGGCTGCTTTGCGTTGGGCGAGTCTCCATGCCTCCCAAACAAAGGATTTCTGGTAATTCAGCATGCAGGGGACTGGAAGTTGGCTTGGAAGAATACAAGGAAGAAGCTAAGTGAGCTGCTGGGGTCCTTCTGGGCTTTACAAAACTAATTCCCCCATAGGGAACAGGTATTAACAAAGGTTCCACGAAGCGGAACCCGTTTAACTGAGCAGGGAAAGGAAACAGCATAGCAAAGAATAAGAGTATACATCATACTGGTATTGAAATTGCTGGACTTGGGCAAGTTGGAAGCCTGAGAAAACTGGATCCAATGCAAGCTCTACCATGTAGGCTCATGGGTACTTCTGAAATAAACATGGACAAAAGAGCTAACAGCATGTGAACACCATGCGCTGCTCTTGGAAGTTAGATGGGGTAATAATGGGCTTCTCCAGAAAGGAAGAACTGGTAGGAACTCGGGACACAAAATTGTGTCTAGCACGACGTGACAACAACACAACAAAGAAATGCTATGTCATACTCTTTCAGTGACGCCTTTACAAACCTGATACTCTTTTTCCTGAGGCAAAGGACTAATTAGTTGTGAGGCATGGTGGGACAGACCTTTCTTTGTCTACTCTAAAACTCAAAAATCTGGGATGTGACTACTCAAATACAGTTTTAAAAGAGATTTACAACAAAACAGGAAATAAGGTAAAGAGTGATTGATTTTTTCAGTTAACTCTCCCACCTGTTTCCTCCTCCAGCCACATCTCTGGGTGACTTGATTTCACTTTCCAGGAAGACGTAATTCTCCTGAACTTCCTTCGGTACTTTCTTCTTGGCAAGATGATCTTGTGCCTCCTAAGAAAACAATCACATGAAATCAGTGAGAAAATGGTTTTGAAGCTTGTGATCATCACACCAGCTAACCTAACATGGACTTCAGATCTGAAAAACAAAAAGTTCATTCATATTTTGATCATTGTGCCAAAGGAACTTCAAATGTTTTATAAGTTTGGGTACCTATAATATTGATTTTATGAGCCAAACAGGATGATGTCCCTGCAAATTGCAATCTTTCAAAACTGGTCCTACATTCATTAAATCTTAAAATTCAGATGTTTGCCATTAGTTTCTCAGGTAACTGTGTGTCTGTCATCTAAGTAATGGCAAGATCATTTATAATCAATAGTCACTGTAGTTAAAAACAGTGCAAAGAAGATAAATAGAGCTAGTGTTCTGGATCTAACTTGATTGTACCAGGTTGGAAGTTCTCTCATATGTACATACACAGAGAAAAGAAGTTCCTAAAAGAATCATGTAGTGGTGTGCACTTTAAAGACAAAGCAGAAAAACAGCAACCCCAAATCCTACCCACACGAGTTGACCTCTCAACTCTCAGCCAGGAAAAAGCTGGATGAACCGACATCTCTGCACACACAACAGTTAGGCCACTCTGCCAGAAGATGCTCTCCACAGGACAGCGTGAGTCAGGTATGCCATCTCAAATGCACACCCAAACATGCACTGTGTGTTGCATTGAACAGCTGGACAAAACATGCTATAGAAACATACAGACATCTCTCAACAATTTATGCATTGACCACTTCTGAAGAAGGTTAATACCGCTGCTCTTAGTGGGTAACAAAGTAAATCCAGGCACATGCAATTGCATTGGGAAAAGAAGTTCCTCGGGCTCCTGGGAAATTACTTCTCTGCATTATTGAGCAGGGAGAGCAGCATGAGCCAGTCTCTGCACAGCACATAGACTCACAGAATCATTTAGGTTGGAAAAGACCCTTAAGATTATCGAGTTCAACCATAAGCACACAACCTTCCTGACACACTGCAAGTCAGAAAGCCGTCTACCTCTTCCCATGCAGGGCCAATAAATCTCAGGGTCAACTGGGACAGCAGGCAATGGATGTCAATCCAAAAAGACACGATGGAGCTTTGCCATGGACAGGACTCTGGAAGCCACAACAACCATTACCCCAGTGTAGCATTTGACATGCAGGAACAATTTGCTCACCAAGTGTTTTGACCTTCTTTAGACTCAGTACAGAAAGCAATAGTCTCGTAATCTGCAAGCGGATTGAGTTACTTCTTAGCTCAAGTAATAGGTCAGTGCCTCACTGCTGAGAATTACACTTCAGTGTCACCATTTTTCTCTTACCATGAGAAAAACTTCCAGAACTTTATTACAGTGGCATCCCAGATGATTTGTGCAATCAGTAACATAAACTATGGTTTCAAAGATGAAGAGACTCCGTTTTAATTATGTACACATAGTACATGGTGGTTGAAACATTTCTGGAAAACAAATCTTAAATCAGGCTTGTTTGTATAGGCCCTGGAGATCTCGTCCTTCTCCAGAATAAATGAGTAGGTTTACTGGCATCTATGTGGTTTGATAGCTGCCAAATCAGTACATGTGAGAAGTGAACTTGTGACTGCTACACTATGCTAGATTTGGGAGCATGAGCTTTGCAATATAAATATTTTCAAAAAAGAACAACCATCTCAATGCTAAAATAATATAACTTTAGTCTGGGCTGAAGAACTAATAAAGGAAATTTTGCAACATAAAATCCAATAGTGCCACAATACACTTATAAATAGAACTAGTCTGGGTTAAAAGACATATCCCAAATGCTAAACAAATACTTCTTCACATATAAACAGGGACAAGAAATAATTGTAGGGAGTCATGGTTTCCACTTTGAGGAAAGATGATCTAGCTAGCTCATGTAAAGAAAACGTTGCCTTTGCTCGGATTGGCACAATGCCATTTATGACCTCATTTTTAAAAAAACATAGACTATTGTTCATACGTTTCTGAGTCATGGAGATAAACCAAACGAAGTTAACTGGGGTAGCCTTTAGAAGAGCCAAACCTGAGCATGTCTCCAGCTTTTCCCTTCCCAGAGGTCTTCCTGCTGCTCCTTCTGCAAAATAATGACAGCATGTCTGCCAAAGCCCAGCCAAAACGCTGCTGCTGCTGGGCCAAACTCCTCTCCCTGCGGGAGCAGAGGTTCAGGGCCAGAGCTGGTTCACTGCTCATGTTCAGACTAGCAAGCCCTGTTGACAGCCATCTCTGCTGCAGGGACCTGGAGGAGTTTCCAGTCTGCCTGTTCTGCTGCCTGCCAGGCTTCTCCTTGCACGTGCTTACTTACTGGTTTGACCAGCCAGACACATTTCTGTTTGGGTTTAAAAGGGCTGTACAGAGGAAGTGAAGGAATTTGTTTAGGAGAGCGTGCCCTACTCCATCTGTGTGGCCGCTGCGTGTTTTGTGGGAGCAATGGCAGAGCTGGAAACATGGGTGCCCACCAGTTCCTGCCACCAAGCCTTGACCGGTTGGAAGAAACTCCCAGTTTTGGGGAAACTGCTGTCCCTGTCAGCTGGCTGCAGCTGAATACCAGAACAGAGAGATGATACCAGGCTGGTGCCGCTCAGCGACTGCCAGTTCAGCCCACACCTACACCGCTGCTTAGCCAAAAGCTGGGCAAAGCTGCAGCCGCCTTGAGCCACACCACTCTCACACGGCACTCAGGAAGCTGGTGAAGACACCAAACCAACCTCTCCTACACAGAAGGGAAAGTGACCTTTGGCTGCTGCATCCCCCCAGTGCCACCACCCTGCAGGCACCATCCCCAGGCTCAGGGTGGATGTGTCACTGACAGCAGGACTGGGGAGTGAAAAAATCATCAGGCCCACCCTTCCTCCTCCAGACCTGGACTGGGGATTCCACAGCAATATTCATGGGCCAGGGTAGTTTCCCTGCTAATAAAAGGTGCCCTCGAAATCAAACTCGAAGCTTTTGATTTCTCCATTCTACATTGCAAACTAACAAAGGGGACAATAGTAATTAACCCTGCATCCTAAATGTTAATTACAAAGGCATAGGTCTGATAGTAAAAAGTTCATTTCTAGTGAACTTTAATTAACCTCAAAGCCTAGTCTTATTTTACTTTAAGATTTATTACTAGACAATACAAAAATTTCTGATATTTAGATCTGAAACACAAATGCAATCTAAGGACAGACAGGTTGCAAGGTAAAGGAGTCATCTGTTTGATACAAAAATATTTTGCTTGAATACATAGTTATCACACTTTCACTTAGTATTTTTGAGTTATTATTTACTAATTTTGTTAATACTTTATTACATATAGGACAGCTCTTGGGAGGGTCATACATGATGAGACTATCATATATATACTTAAATCCTACGTATATGTCTTCACCTAGAGGGCAGCTCAGGTTAATCGAATGCTGACTGAGTGTTTGGTTCAGCTGAACACTCCAGACGAATCTATGTTCATCACTTCCAGGGTGAAAATTCATCTTGCTCTCACTAGTTGTTCCCTAATCAGCTGATTGCTCAATTCATTTGATTGCTCCCTCTGACCATACTATCGCTGGCTGCTTCCTTTGCCTCCCAATCACACTAATTGACCTCTTAGTCAAAAATATTCTAGGTCTCAGTGCTAATTGCACCCTAACAGATAATTTTGGCTGAACATTCAATGAGTATTTCCAATATAGGCACTGAGAGCAGCAACTCAGGAAGTATTTTAATTAGAGCATTAGTGGAAATAATCTGTATGAAGGCATCACGTGGTCACACGATCACACACTAGCCAGCTAGACAGGCATGGCAATTAACTTACGGGTCTATCCAAGAATTTGGGCAGAGGGCGCAATTTGGTCCATATAAAGTAATCACAGTAGCTCAAATAAAAACTTATCAACCCAGTTCTGTGCTGTCCTGTGCCAAACTAGCATCCATCCATGGAAAATTGTTGGCCTCGAGTCACTTCTCCCAGTTACCAAAATTAGGTTCTGTTAGAACCCCACCACGTTCCCCGTGGCTGGTGGAGACTTTACTCCAACACCTGGGCTGACCACTGCTGTGTGACATTCACACAGGGACACGGGCTCTTCAGAAGTGCCATCCAAACTAAGAGTTCTTAGGAGCCAATGAGGTCTAGATTAGGCTATAATTTAAAAGTAGGGTGTCAAGTAGTCCCTCAGCTGTCATTAAACATTCAAATAATACTGTGTGTACAATTTGCAGAAATAGTAGACAGCAATTTGAATAGTGCTCAGAAACTCATCTTTGTCAAGAAAAGTATGTGTTGTCAGAAGACAGGAATTAATTTGGAAAAGTGCATTCCAGTCAACACTTTGTTTCCATTATGCACTGCTAGAGTAAATTAAGCACCATATAAAGTTCACCCAAGATTGTTAAAGGCTTTCTTGCTACCAAGAAATTAGTTTCTTAAGACTAGCCATCTCTGAAAAATCAAGGAAATTCAGCATGTAAAAACAGTAAGCAGTTTCCTTACTGAAAAAAAAAGGTAATGTCCTCTATATTTAGAGATTTATCTAGGTTTTTGTTACAGATCTATTTTTAAAGGCACACAGTTTTGCATATATGATCTTATTGCAGATGACTGTCTAGAACTGTGAAGCACATCAAACTATGTGGTTAGGAAGCACAAAAACTCAAAATCTGAAAAGCATCACTTCTGCAGAGCTTTCCCAAGAGATTGCCTTGTACTATTCTGCACCTAATGTAAACCCAGAGAATCCACCTGCATACTCCAAGACGGAGCTACCTGAACCCCTCCCTGCAGTGCAATGCCCTCCCTGGGGCAGGCAGCCATGCAGTCAGCCCTGCGCAAGAAGAGCCAACACCTCTCTGCAAATTCAGGGAAACACAGCAGAGGGCTGAAAAGGATCTGTGCTGCGCGTGCTTCTGCAAATGCAAAGGTCTGGGCCCTTGGGCTTGCTAGATAAGATTGATATAAACTTCAACTTGTCTGCAGGATCCCTTCATCAGTTATAAACAGGGC